CAGTGGCTGTCATTTCCAACCCTCAGTGGAGCTGACTCTTGAGATCCTGCAAAGACTCTTTCCCCAATTCGAATGGCCCCTCCCTCCCTGCTGCGTGGCCACTTGTATTTCCTCACTGGGCCCCGATGGCTCCCTGATGACCCAGCTCTGGGGTCTGCGAAGTCACACTGGGTGTCTGGGGCCATCCTGCCTACTGGTGCTGTGATGAGACATACCCTGTCAGGATGCAGCTCACCATTGCTATTCCCTGTGAAGCATCCGTGTAGATGTCCAACGTTCCTGTCTCCCAGGGTTTCTGATTGACTGTCCCCTGGACATTGTCAGGCGGTGAGCAGTGCTCAGATTCCCTGACTATTTGCAATGGGGTGGTTGGGGCTGTCTCATCATGCAGACTTCCTCCTTCAGGGCACTCCCGAAATGCCTTTAGTATTTGGTTTTTACAGAAACTCCTCTGGTTTTGAGGTCTGTGATGGCTGGATTAAAGCCTGGAGTGCTGTAGACTTGAGAGAGTAATGTGGCCATTTTATCTCTTGGCAGAGTTCACTTGAAATTCAGTTTCCTTTTCAGAAACACTAGGCTTCAAAAGATACAAGCTGGAATAGGGTGAGCAACAAAATAAATAATGAGAGGACTGGGCTCTCAACCATAGGGGGAAAGGGATATTGACTAGTGCACACTTAACATAAATAAATAATTGCATACATTAGTAAATAGGGTGGAAAGGACTGTAGAATTTAGATCGATAATGTTAAAGCAGTGAGTGAAAACAAAAATCATGATTAGGCAAACACCACTGTGGCCATTGTTTCAGATACCATCCAGCCATGAGCGCTAAAGGTACTGGGGCAAAGTCCGATAGAGAAAAAAACTATAAACACAGTTTCAAACTATTTTTCCAAAGTTTATTAATGATACTAGGAAAAATAGTCATATTAGAATGAAGAAAGCACAGACAGCATTGCCACCATTGATAAGACATGGAATGGACATTTTTGGTTCCCCTGATGTGAAATTCTGAGGTGAATTAATTAAGAGTTCTCCAGGGAAATGAGAGAGAGAGAGAGAGAGAGAAGAGAAGAGAAGAGAGAGAGAGAGAAAGGGAGAGAGAGACATAGACAAAGAAAGAGGGGAGAGAGAGACAGGCAGAGACAGAGAGTGAGGATAGAGAGGAGAGAGACAGAGAATTTGTTGCATTGGACTTAAGTAAGGGAGAAGTGGGATGTAGCTCCTCAAGGGGGAGTCTACCGCATCCCTCTCTACCTACCCCCATCATCTGGGGAAGTCTTTATGAAAGCTTAGGAAATGAGGGTCTGCTACAATCACCTGTGAGTCAGGGATGTACCTGAAGTCCACGTATTCTGCCTTGGCATGGGGGATGATCCTGTCACCTGATTTCTCCAGGAGCCATGAACTTAGACTGGCATGAGGAATTTCTCTTTGCAGGAAAGGAAAGTCAGTTCCAAAATTCTGCCTGGGTTTTCCAGGAACACTGCTTTATCTCTCAGAAAAGGATTTCATGAATGAGAAGATTTGTAAAGGTATGTTTATTTAGGAAATGAGGGGAGAGAAAGAACATCATGTTCTTTGCTTCTGAGCGGAGAGAGCCCAGTGCATATATAGATATATCCCAGGGAGAATGGCAGTGAATCCCAAGATGGAGAATATACTCTTTAAAGAAGGTGCAGGCCACATCCCCAGAATGGTGCCTGCCTTTGCCTCTGCCAAGTTTCTATAATTTTCCCAAACTGCCTCTTAAAGCCTGTTGGCTTTTGTTCCAGGAGTGGAGCCTCTTCTCCCAGGGGGCCCAGTCATGCTCTGAGCTTGGATTTCTGAATCTGAAAGGTTTTCCAGTCTGCTCCGATGTGTTCTGTTTCTCAAAGGCCTTCATGTCTTTAGGCTGGTTTAGGTTCCAGGTAGTATTTTGCTCAGTACACGTTGTAAGGTTTCCCTAGCTCTTTGCTGCCTGCAACATATTCGTGTATTTATTCTTAGGAATTGACTCATGGAAAATAGAAGCTGATTTGACCCATGGTTTGCAGGGTGAGCTGGCAAGCTGGAGCTTCCAAGAGAGCCAGTGATTTGGTTTCAATCCAAAGGCCAGATGACTCAAGACCCAGGAAGACTTTGAGTTTGTTTCCGTTTGCATTTGTGTTCTGAAGGAATGTAAAAACCCACATCCTAGTGTGAAGTCAGGCCAGCAGAAAGAGCCTCTTCTGTTCAGGTCTTCAGTTCATTGGAGATGGTTCACCCCTGTGAGGAGCGTAATCCAGTCTCCGCCGTCTGTCTCCTTGAGTGGTAGTCCCATCCAAAGACCTCCTTATGGTTCTGGGGACATGGCTTAGTGGCAAAATATGTCTTCCATACAAAAAATGACATCAGTGCTTCTTGTCTCCTTATTGTCTGTGTGGGCCCAGTCAGCCCAACTCTCTGGGTCCCCAGCACTCCAGGAGAGCATGTGCTCTCAGAAGCACCCCAAGGTGTATGCTTGAACCTAGAGAGTAGGAGAAATCCAGCGAGCCCCACAGTTAAAGGTATACGTGGGTGCTGTGGCTAGGGGTGTGACCTCAAGTGAGCAATTATCTGAGCATGACAATCCCCCGGGAGTGCTCAAACTGGAAAGGTACAAACATCACAACTGAAGGGCTGCGATCATGGGTAAGGACCACAGCCAAGTCTATGTGTGCCCTCACCATCACAACAGCCACCATGTCAAAGGGAAGGAAGTGAAGGAAGTGCCGGGGTTAGTGGTGGGGGCAAGGGGGAGCCTGAAAGCACTCAGGATAGCAGCTGGCCAAGTAAGTTGACACTGTGGTCCATCAAGTTAACTAAAACCTTGGGTCCACACCCCTGGATTGACTTTCTCCAGGAATGACTCATGATTCCTTGAGCACTGCCCCAGATATATAAAGTTAACCATCACAAAAGCATACACGCACACATTTAAAAAATAACAGTACTATTAAAAGAAATTATGGAACATTTCACCCAATAAAAGGTTATGAATGATAAGGGAAGACTGAGGAATTTTTTATTAATTGGAAGGAAATAAGGAGGCAGGGCAATAAATGCAGTAAATAAATGCAGCTGGGTTCTTGGGTGGACCCACGTGCAGAAAGGAATGTAAGCTGGAAAACAAAAAAAAAATAAAACTAATAAAGTTTGAATGAAGTAATATCTGTACAGTATTGAGTCAGTGTGAATTTCTTAATGTTCATAAATACATGGTAAAATGAATAGAAACTGATTAAAGGCTAGATAGGAGCTCTGCAGTTTTAATGAATTTTCTGTAACTATAAAATGATTTTAAAATAAAAATTAAGACTGCTTGCACCAGTTATACTGAGGACTTTTTAATAATAGAAGCCATGTTTGTGCTTTCAAAGTTGATAACTATTGTGTGTATGCACATTAACTTTCTATCTGTATTTCCCACAGAAGTTACATTTCATCCTTTTTTGGGTTTTGATGCTCCTTTAAAAAATTGTTTGACTTCTCACGTGTGTGTGCATGCGTGTGTGTGTGTGTGTGTGTGTGTGTAAACACACACATATATGTATTTTGTATTCCTTCCTGACTAAAGCATTATTTTATTTTATTTTTTAATTTTTATTAGTGAAACACCATGAGGTACAGTTGTAGACTTACAAATTTTTGTGCTTGGGTTTCAGTTATACAATGATCCAGTATCCATCCCTCCACCAGCCTTGGCCTCCTGTTGTTGCATGGGAACTTGCTCTTTGACACTATGGCCTCGAGCCTCTGTGCATAATGGAGTGTCTTAGAAGTTTAAGTTCAGGTAGAGTGTGGAATGGACTGGAGACATAGCAGGGCATGTCATGAGAGCTAAAGTTATTATACTAACCCAGGATGGTGCTATGTGCTTTGTCTGCAGTATGTCACTTAATTAAACCTCATAGTAACCAAAAGACAGAGCAGATGCCGTTCATATTGCCCTATTTTCCAGTTGGGAAAACTGAGACTTTGGGAGGTTAAGTCATGAGCAGTGAACAGTAGTGAAGCAGATGGATCCAGGTCCTTTTGTGCTATCTTCTGTATGCTACTGCTCCTGACTGTGGCCGGAAGGCTATCTGAGACAATTTTATTCTATTTTACTTTATTATTTATTTATTTTGCTTTTTGTGTCACACTCAGTGATGCACAGGGGTTACTCTGGCTCTGCACTCAGTAATTACTCCTGGCGGTGCTCAGGGGGACCATATGGGATGTTGGAATTGAACCCAGGTCAGCCACCTGCAAGGCAAATGCCCTACCCACTGTGCTCTTGCTCCAGCCCCCGCTGAGACAATTTTAATAGGTGACTCATGAGAGTTCAGATGACAGGGCCTGAGACTGGTCACTAGTGTGGGGAGTGAAAAGAAAGAGCAGCAATGTGAAGCATCCTTGCTCAGGAGGCCAGTCCCAGCCTGTATTTTTATAGCTGCTTCTGTGTGGTATTTGCGTGGAAACCAGTACTCAGTGGTGAGAATGTTGCCTAGACAATGGGGTGGTCTGGAAGATTGACCTCCAAACTCCTGAAGTAGGTTGGGCTTCACGTATTTCCTTAGGACATGCATTGATTTAACCATGTAAATACCGAAGTTGCTTGTGAGTGGCTTGGGTTACTTTTGAGATGGTTTGAGCAACTTCCTGATCCCACCCTTCCCCAGCATCTGAAGCTTTAGAGTTCAAGTCCAGGAGGTGCCTCCAGAGACTTGCTGATAATTGGTTGTTCCTCTGAACCTCCTCTTTCCCTATCTGCTTGCCGTGATTTGCTCTGTTATTGCCCTGCCTTGCTGTTGTGTGGGTTACTATGTCACAGAACTAGTTAATTTATTCCACTTTTGTTTCTGATTTTTTTTTCTTTTTTGAAAAAAGAGGAGGTGCATGCATTTTGATTCTCCCAAGCTTGAGGCACTGTTAAGTGGTCAGTAATGCGAGAGTACTGAAAGCTGGGTGGCTGTGTGGGATGCCTGGTGACAGTTGTCCTCTCTCTGCTGCAGGTGATAAGAAGTACATCATGGGCCCCAAACTTTCCACTCTGGATGCCACTGTCTTTGGACACCTGGCACAGGCAATGTGGACCTTACCTGGCACAAGACCTGAAAGGCTGATCAAAGGCAAGTCCTATAAACTTTTTTTTTTAGTTGGGGGAGTGGCTGGGGGAGGTTAGAGTGGGGGAGGGAGGTAGAGGAACACAATGGAGAATTCCGGGTCATTGCCTGTAAACTTTATTGCACTTTATGGAGACGCCAGCCGGTGGCAGCTGGGCCCAGGGTCAGTTTTCTGCATTTAGGATACATAGGGGTGGAAGAGAGAAGGGCCCTCTCTTGCTTATACTGCGTTCTCAACAAGGCTGGCACAAATTTTTGCCATATTCTACGCTGTGTTTTTTCTTTCAGCACCTTACTTCGCGGACTGAAATATATGATACTTGAATGAATAAAGTGAAATTCAGGGTAATGAAGTACATGGCACTGAAAAAAATACATGGTACTGAAATGGAGCCTGAATTCCAGCCACATAATTTGTTGTGTTGATTTCCCTTAATTTTCTCGGGGCAGCAGTAGTTCACCACTGTTTGTAACCACTGCTGATCCACCACAGTTGGGCAAGGCTCATGGACTCACTGCCCATTTCAGATGGTCTTTTTGAGTCTGGGCTGAACCGATCTTTGATCTTTCATATATATGTGCGAATGTTTTTAGCCTTGTGTCTCTGGAGTTTAGAGTATGCCTTTCTCTTAAGCAGTGGGGTGCCCGTAGCTCATACACTGATAACAGTAGAAATGGAGAAATGGTAAAATTGCTTTGTAACTCAGGCTATGTGCAAAGGATAATTACTAGTAGCATTTCATGTGCATTTCTACTAAAGAAACACAATCTTTTTTCCTTGTTGTTCATAATGCATTTCAGAATTAAACTATAGATGCTGGTGAAATTGTCCAGTGGTAAAGCACTGTGACTGACCCTGGTTTGACCTCAGCTCCATGTATGGTCCTCTGAGTATTTCCAGAAGTGACTCCTGAGCACAGAACTAGGTTATAATAAGCCCTGAGCACAGAGTCTAACACACTGTCCAACCCCCCTTTAAAAAAATTGCAATTCTAGACTGAGAAGCAAAAAATGGCATAAGTTGGATCATAGGTGACAAACTTATGTTTGGGAGCCTGGGAAGAAGGTAGTCAGAAGTAAAAAAAAATTAGTGCTGGCAAGGGGGCAAGAAAAGTCTTCTTGGCTGTGATGGTGTTAAAGAACTGGAGAGAAAGAGAGAGAGAATGAGAGAGGATCTGGAAGAGTCTTTCCCTGCAGTTGTGGATGGGGTCTATTCGGTATCTTCTAGTTTGAGGCAGTGCATAAATAGGCATGTGGGATCTGGGAAGGTGTGGATCAGAGTTGATTATTTTGATTTGGAGGAGGGATTGATAAAATATTTTTGTTGCTGTTTTGGTCACACCCTGAGATGCCTGGGGGTAGCTCCTAGCTCTGTTTTCAGGAATTACTCTTGGTGATGCTTGCAGGACCATATGGGGTGCCAGGGATGGAACCAGGATCATGAGTATGCAAGTACCTTACCTGTTGTACCAGCCCCAAGGGATTAATGGTATTTATTTGGCAACTGAGTAGGCAAAGGTATAGGTGATATCGTCAGTGAGTAGCATATAGGATGGCCTTAGTTTGGATATGTGTGTGTGTGTGTGAGTGTGTGTGTGTGTGTGTGTGTGTGTGTGTAACCACTCATGGAAGAATTATATAAGAAACTTAAGAACAGTCATGTATCAGACAGTGTAACCACTCAAGTCATGTATCAGACAGTGTAACCACTCAAGGAAGAATTATATAAGAATTCTATTAGAAAGTTAAGAACAGTCATGTATCAGACAGTTGTGTGTGTGTGTATGTGAGTGTGTTTGTGTAAAACCACTCAAGGAAGAATTATATAAGAAGCTTAAGAATAGTCATGTATCTGACAGTCGTGTGTGTGTTTGTATGTGTGTATGTGTGTTTGTGTGTGTAGTTGTACTCTTGTGCATAGCCAAAAGTTCAGAGCAAATGGAGAAAGGAGGTACATTGCAAATCCTCCCTTTGGGAAGGTGCATCTGCAGATACATTTATTGCCAAACTTGATATGTAGCAGTTAGTAGTCTAGGACTTCAACTGAGTGAGACTAGGAGTATTGTGGACTAATGTGCACACACAGATATATATATATATATATATATATATATATATATATATATATATGGGCCATTTCCAGTGATGCTTGGGAACTACTTCTGTTTCTGTGCTCAGGGTACCATGTGCACCTGATCCCAGGCCTCCTTCATGGGAAACTTTTTGCTTGGTCCATTGAACTCTGTGACCTATATTCACTGATACTTAAATTCCTAAATAATAAGTACGCAAATAATTCTTGGTGAATTGGAACTTATCTAAATTGGATGTTACATTGGTGATGTTTGTATCATTAAAAATTTTTACTTCCATTTTTACGATATATTTTCTAGTGATCTAAAAGATAGTGTTTGCTTTAATTAATACCAGGATACATTTTATACATACTCTTCCGTTATTTCCTACCTCCCCTCATTTTCCTACCACAGCAGCATTGTACACCCACTATGGATAGAATACACATAATAATGATAGATATAGAATTGTATATAATCCCACTCTACATGAGTATATGTATGAGTGTGTCTATGAATGCTACCTTCTCAGTTCCAGATATAATTCACAAAGCCATGCTAGCTACATCTGTAATTTGAACAGTGAGAAATTTCCTCACACATATTTAAAAACAAAAATTTAGTCACTGTGAAATTACAGAGTTATTCATGATTGTGTTTCAGGCATGCAGTGTTTTAACACCCATCCCTTCACCAGTGTCCACTTCCCTCCATCAGTGTCCCCCCCACCTCCCATTTGCCTCCTGCCTATTGGTCTGCTTCTACAAGAGGCACCTTCTGATAGGGTCTAATACGTGGCACTTTACCACCTTTCAGCACCACCTCCTCCTATTATTTTCATCTACTTTAGGCATTCTCACCGCCCACCCCTCTTCCCTCCTTTCTGACCCCTCTCTCTCAGTCCCCTTCCGTGGCATGTTTCCTACTGAATACCAGTTCTCCTGTTCTTTGATTCCATTGCCTTTGGGTACTTGTCATTCCACCACTATGTTTCTTTATATCTCACTTATGAGATATAAGTCCGGGATCTGGATTTTATAGTCTCTGAGTCTTGGCCGCTGATGGGATTACACGGCGCCAGGGGGCCAGGTGGTGGGTGTGACCTCCGCCTGCTGGAATTTGGAGGATCTGGATGGAAGATGCTCGACTCCAATCCGAGTAGGCTTGGAGGTCTCGGCCCCGGAACCCGCATGGCTTTGTCCCTCTGCCAGTACCTTCATGTGTGCGGAGAGAGGTCTCAGCATGTGAGAACAGTGCAGTCTTTTGCCCCCGCGCCTGGGTGTCCCTCGCCGGGACCCCTTGGAGGGGAGCGGGTTGAGCTTTCCTCCCCGCCCCGACCGGGGCTCCGGCAGCCAAAGACCTCCAGGACCAGCCACACCATGCTGGCTAACTTCACTCAGCATGATACTCTCTAGGTCCCTCCAAGTAGCAGTAAATTGCATAACTTTATCTTTTCTTACGGCATAGCTTCTTTATCCAGTCATCTCATCTTGAACATTTGGGTTCACACACTTCTTTTTTGTGGTGGTCAGGTGTTTCTGTCATTGCTCCAGGGGCCTTGTGGTGCCGGGGTTTGAACCTGGGGCTCCTGAAAGCAAAGCATGTCCATTAGCCCGTTGAGTCATCTCCCCAGCCTCAGTGTACTTCTTTCCCTACAAGCTGCAGCTACAGTTACTTGTACATACACAGATACGCTTCTACCCAACTTTGCCTACACATTCAGACAGACACACACACATATTCATGCACAGCCCTTCTATGCATGAACATATACACACATACTATTGAGATAATCTCTTATTTATTCAGGTTATTTAGGAATTGTTATCAGTAGATCTCTTGGTTTCTGTTAAGTCTCTTCTCGCAGAAGTGTAGCATCTCTTGTTAATTTATTTATGACAGCCTTTTCTTCTATTACTTCCTGGAAGAACTTGAGATATTTAGTGTTCTTTTTAAGGAATGATCAGCCTTTTGGAAATTGATTTTGAGTCTTGTCCTGAGTCACTCATTTGGGGGAATCAGACACCTCATCCGTCAGGGAGTTTTGGCACATCGTTGCATGTACTTTGATTCTTAAAACAAGCTAGTTCCTTCCAGCTCTCCCTGGGACTGGTGTGGTATGAATCACCAAAGTCCACTGATTGTCTCTTAAATCTCATTTTAGTCCTTTGTTCCGTACCCCTTTGAACCTTTTGATCAAGGCTGCTATGCAGTCAGATTAATAATTTGATCCCTGCCTGTTTTCTTTCTGTGTTGGGGACTCTTCCAAGAAGTAACAGGAGGGAGGAGAAATAGAAATAACTGAGGATAATTGAGAACTGACTCAAGCCCAGGAATGGCTTGAATCAGCAGTTTTCTGCCTTACTTCTGGACCAGGAAGGGCACTGAGGGCTCTGTCTTGTGAAAGTGTTGGTATAAACGTTACCTTCTTGTCCTTCGATATACTTTATAAAACAACACGAACACTTTTGAAATAGTGTTAAAATTTTCTTTGATGACTAAGAGGTGATTAGGTGGATGGACTTCAAGTACTTACGAATTTTTAAAAACATCTCTGTATATGAGTGTGTATTTATTATGCAGAAATATGAATATTATGTCCTTATTGAACATAATTTGTCCAAGTAAGAAAAGTTTAGAACCAATAATTTCTGATTCTTTCACTCAGAGAGCTACCACTAGTATTGTCCTATGGACCCTCATCATTTTGGGGGGAGGGTTAGTTTGGGGTCCTATTTGGTAGTAGGACTATTTTCAGCTCTGTGCTTGGGTTAGATCTGCAGTGCTTGTTTCCAGATGATGCCAGACCATCTACATGTAAAGCCTGTACTCAGCCTGCTGAGTGATCTTTTCAATCCTGTAGTCTCACCTTTTATAAAGTACATTTATGAATACAAATATATATGTATATGCTTATCTTTAAAAATATGG